ATCCCAAGGGTGCTGGTTATATGTGTCTTATGTATCATTATCTGATGTTGGGCCCCAGGGCTCTTAGCTTATCATCTGCTAGTCAATATTTTGACCAATTAATTACTCTAGTCAAAGTCACACCCAGAGATAGTTTTATTATCCACTAAAAGATCTGTTTTGAGATTGTCAACATAGTAAGCTAACAAGACTCTTAACAGGTTTCATTTTCTGTTTATTGTTTGCTTTTTGTTTTGTTTTGTTTTGTTTTTGAGAGGGGGTCTTGCTATGCAGTTCAGTCTGGCCTTGAACTTACTATGTAATCCAGGCTGCCCTCAAACTCATGATGAATTAATTCATGGCAATCCTCCTGCCTCAGCCTCCCAAGTGCTGGGCTGATAGGCATGCACCACCATGCCCAACTCTTAACAGGTTTCAAAGGCCTGTGTAATAAAAAAGATAAATGTACATAAACTCAAAATACTACATTAAATGCCAAAAAAATAAGCTGGGCACAGTGGTACATGTCTGCAATCCCAGCAACTCAGGAGGATGAGGCAAGAGGATTACATGTCTGAGAACTGTTTGGACAATCTAGTGAGGCCCTGTATTGAAATAAAATATAAAAGGGCGAGGGATGTAGCTCAGTAGTAGTTCAACCTCTAGTACTACAAAAAAAACCAGATTGACCAAGCAAACTGGGAATATAGCTCAGTGGTAGGTTCAATCCCCAGTGTCACCCTTTCCCCCCAAAAAAGCAAGGTTTTCCTCAAAAAGCAGCTCTAAAACAAAACGTCAACCAAATATAACATGTGGGCCTTCTTTGGATACTAATTCTAATAAACCAAATGTATAAAACATTTTAGATAAGAGAAACTTGTACTCTTTTTTTTTTTGGCAGGCGGTGGCACCACTGAGCTAATTCCCAGGCCTAGATAAGAGAAACTTAACAGTGAGAAGATATTAAATGATATTGAGGAAAAGTTGATTTTTAAGGTATGATGTTATTAGAATTTTTTTTTTTTTTGGTACCGGGGATCAAACTCAGGTCCTTGCACTTGCACAGTAGGCGGGGAAACCACTGAGCTAAATCCCCAGCCCTATTAGACTGTTTTCTAAAAGTTTTTATTTTCTATCAACAGTATTAACAATGTAGTAGATATGAGTAAAATGAAGTAGATATACATAGCGAGATTACTGTATTATTCAGCCTTAAAAGGAAGGAAATTCTGACACTTGCTACATCTTGAATGAACTTTGAGGTCATTATGCTGAATGGAGTAAGCCACCATAAAAAGATAATTATATATGATTCCACTTATATGGGGTACTAGAGTTGTCAAATTTATAGACAAAAAGTAGAATGGTGGTTGCCAGGGCTTGGGATGGAGGAGTCATTGTTTAAAGGGGACAGTTGCAGTTTTGCAAGATAAAAAGAGTTCTGGAGTTGGATGGTGGTGATGCCTTGTGTAACAATTTGTATTGGCCGGGGATTTAATTCAGTGGTTCTGCCACCTGCCTTGCAAGCCCAAGGTGCCAAGTTTGATCCCCAGTACCAAAAAAAAATTTGTACTTATATCACTGACCTAATAGGTACACTTAAAAATAGTTAAGCCTGGGCTAGGAATTCAGCTCGGTGGTACAGCACCTGCCTATCAGGCATGAGGGCCTAGGCTCAATCCCCAAAAGTACAAAACCAAACCAAAGTAAAATAAATTAAAAATTAAGGTTAAGATGATAAATTTTATGTTACGTGTATTTTTGGAAAAAATTAAAGTGTTCTCATCTAGAGATACATCTTCAAGTACTTAAAAACAGAACTTTGTGGCATCCTTTTTCAGCCAACCAACAGTGATGGTAATCTCCCTGGCGTGTAGGCATCAGGAATTCTTGAGCAGAAGAAAAAAATGTAGAAGAAACTGAAAGCAGCAGGGTCACTTAAGCAGGGAAGGAAGAATCAGGAAGAGCAAGAACAAGCAAAGAGCTATAAAGGATGCTAACAGGGGTCCGACAGCTACTGCCCATGGAATATATTACAAAACAACACCATCAAATACATGCTGTGATCTGTATGTGATCATAAGAAAAGATCTTATGCTGTATTATGTTATAAAAACAAAGGGCAAGAGAATATTTACACAGCAGGATTCATTTAATCATTTTTGAAAAGGAATAGTGGTTTCCTTAACAGTGATTTTCTCTGGTGAGAAGTGGAGGTTAAACAGAAAGCCTTTAATTTCTACTTGTACTTTCTATCTGGAGTTTTTCTTCCCTTGTATATGAATTACTTTAAAGTTTGTTCCAGGCAGACTTTGCCCTCTGGTGCAGAATGCTGAAATACCTGGATGAGAAAACCTCTAAAGATCCTCCTAGGACTTAGTAACTCTTTTAACTCGATAAGACTCAAAATGTACTAGGACTCTTGTGCAGTTTAGGAATTCAGAATATTTTCATGGGCCGAGGATTTAGCTCAGTGGTTCCAGCACCTGCCTTGAAAGTGCAAGGTCCTGAGTTCGATCCCTGGTACCAAAAAAAACCCCCAAACAAACAGAATATTTACATGTGTTACACAGTGATGATTTTTTTCCCCAAAGAGGCCTGGTTTAAATTCACTTACTATTTGGTCACTCGTGATGCTGTTGTGGTGGGCATTTTCACAAGACAAACCCTCCAGACATCTGGGATCAGACAGATGTTTACTCTCCTTGCTTTGTAAATAAGAAAGTCATAAGGTGACTGGCCAATATGTACTGTATTTCGAATATGAGGAACTGCAGTCCACTAGCAGGCAAAATTTATTAGCTTACACTGTACCTTAAAAAAGTTTTACATGGATGTGCAAACATTTTTAGGGCACAATGAACCAAATGGAATCATAACATAAACCACATTTTAAAAAATGAAAAAAAAAAAAAGGCTGGGGATTTAGCTCAATGGTTCCGCTGCCTGCTTTCCAAGTGCAAGGTCCCGAGATCAATCCCCAGTATCAAAATAAATAAATAAATAAATAAATAAATAAATAAATGAGATTGTGCCAGGCATGGTGGCACGTGCCAGGCATGGTGGCACATGCCTATAATCTCAGCACTTGGGAGGCTGAGGCAGGAGGATTGTCATGACTTTGAGGCCAGCCTGGATTACACTAGGAATTCAAGGCCAGCCTGAACTACATACTTGGGAAGCTGAGGCAGAAGGACTGTAAGTTTGGAGCCAGTCTGCAAGACCCTAACTCAAAACTTTAAAAGGCTGGGATGCAGTTCAGCAGCACCATGGCAACACAAATCAAACATGGGCTACTGTTAGTGTCTCCTTATGGAATGGCAGCTCAGAACCCTCTAGACAGACATAGGTATGTACTGGGTTCCATTTTCAGTTCAAGCTCAATCTACTCCTTCATATAGTTCTGCCTTTCCCCTTACATGTAAGAAGCTTCAAATATCAGCCTCTTAATTATTTACAATGACTACCATTTCAGGTGTTCAGAGCTTTATTCATTTAAAACCTACTCTATGAGGTAATAATTAATTTGATACAGTTTGGACATGATTTTAGGACATCCTCCAAAGGTTCGTATGTTAGAGGCTTGGTTCTCAGTGTGGCAAAGTAAGGTGGCAGGACATTTAAGAGATGGAGCCTATGGGAAGTCACTGGGGGTCCTGGCTTTTAAAGATATTAAGGCAGTTCTTGTGGGACCTTGAATTAGTTTCTGTGAGAGGACGTTATAAAAAGAGCAAATCCAGCCCCTCACTCTGGCTCCCATCTCACCATGTGGTCTCTTGTTCTCTGACACACTCTTGCCCTTGGGTGGGATCCCGTCTATGGTCCCATCCACCATGAAGTACTCCCCAGAGCCAAGCACCATGTCCTTGAATCTCCAGAGTTGTGAGGTAAATAAAATCCTTTTCTTTATAAAATTACCTAATCTCCAGTATTTCATTATAGTGACAGAAAATGGATTAATACAATTTTTTATCCCTATTTTTAAAAGTTTATTTTTATTAGTACATGTTTGCAGTATAAAATGATTACATTTACTGTAGGGAACTGGTACATGCACATAGCCCATCTCAGTTCTTTTTCTTCCCCCTTCCCCTCTACCCCTCTTTTTTGCCAGCATCAGATTGATTCATAAATCTTTTTTTTTTTTTTGCTTAAATTCTTTTATTGGTACATTTTAGGTATACAATA